CCACCCACTTTTTCCTTTCTGATGAAAGGCTCCCATGAAACTTACTAAAATACGGTGCATAAATATAGATGAATTTTTGATGAGTAAGTCGAAGCACCAACAAACCTGGCTTTCCACATAGAGAAAATTCTTCAATTTATAGAGAAATTTCAGGCCTAGATCATTAATACCATCATATTTAATGATAACTAACATGATAAAATCCATAGGGTCTCTGGAGATGTCACTGTTTTTGTTGGTAGTGATTGTAGTGTTCAGCATGAACTGACTTGTAGAAAACAAATAGAATTCAAAAACAAGAGTGAAATTTTTCAAAATTGATTTTAGAGAAATATTAAATGATGGTCATTTAATCATAATAGCCTTTATAATAATAAATAATGAATTTATTAAATGTAATGGCATTCCTCTGAATAATAGTTATGTTACCACATTAGGTTTAGAAACTATATTTCTGAGATAGCAAATGGCTTGAAAGATGTTGTTGAATTGTCAGAAACTTTCTAGGAGGGAACTCTGGAATAGAGTCTATAGTGTCTGCTTTTGATAATTAATGGTAATGGCATTTACTAAAATTACTGTGAAGAATTAATTTTAAGTATTTATATGCAGCAGAGTAGGGAGCTTCTCTGCTTAGTAACTGAGCTCAGACATATATTTCAAGTCCAGTTACTAGAATCCACAAAGTCAATATTTTAGAAAGAAAAAGAAGTTAAAATTAATTGGTACTATAAATGTTTTCCTTCATTCAATATGGATTTATTGGGCATGAGCTGTATAGACTTTGCTATCAGAGGAGCCTCAAAGCAATAATCCTCTCTAGAACTAATGAATATTTTTATCTGTAAACTAAATTTCATATTTTTATCTTCCTATTCAATAGATTTTATTGGCGGAAGCCAGTAGAGATAATGGTGCCCTAAGTCACCAACAAGGTGAGATCAAAGTACTGGGGAGCATATGAACATATATGTTATTAATTGAACACCTTTGTCATTCATTGCTAATCACTATGTGAAAATGACTTTTAAAATACTCCTGACTACTTCTTATCCTTCCCTACTGTGGTTCTGTGGATCCAAGAACACAGAGTAACTTGGATGCTCAAAGTAGGAAAAGTTTGCATAATAGGTACTCAGTTCAGCATAACTAAGATAAAATTAGCCACAAAGTTCTAGATTCTCTAGTTACTGGCACTACCCAGGGTTTTATAACCATCATTACCCATGATCATTTTATACTAAACTACAATAATAGATGTGGTGACGCATCTGAGGTCTCCTCCTGTATTATTAGTATAGCGAGACACCTCAGATGTGTCACCACCAGAGAACAGGCACGTTCAGACCAAATTCATTGGCCACTGTCCTCCTCATTTCTGTTGTTTTTTCTCGAATTCCCCAGATCTTTTTGTTTTTCAGATTATTACCCACATAATTTTTGAATATTTCATTTTCTGCTTTGTGTTTAGTCCTACTTTTTACTATCTTTTTGTCAAAGTTTCATGTTAACCATTATTTGAAGAGTTCCTTTAACAGTGTGGAGGTTTTCTTCAAAGATTTGATAGAAATCTTTAAAAATGGGCTTTTTTCTCATTTAAGTCTTATTTCAACATGTTCACTGATTTTAGATTTCTCTGACAAACATGGCTGAGGTATCAAAACCCAGACATGTTGATAACAGCTTTTTCTCCAAGTCATTTAGAATATAAGACTTTCTGTCCTGCTGTGTCAAATTGCCCAACTAGGGAATAAGATGAGTGTATGTGCATGTCTTTGGGGTGGGGAGGTAGGGAGCAAGGAAGTGGGGGATTGTTAAACAGTCTATACAAGGAGAACTCACATTGTCCTCCGAAACTGATATATTTAGGCTCTCCTATTTTCCAGGAGTCTATCATAGACACTTCTGTCTCAATGTTTGTAGTAAATTAATGAATTAATGATGATTTTCTCTGTTGCTTTGGTTAGGAATATCCTTTCAAAAAAAGATTTTTCTGGGAGATAAATGCAGTACTCTTTTTTCTTCTTCATGAGATAGACACACACAGAGAGAGAGAGAGAGAGAGAGAGAGAGGGAAAAGCAACCTAGTGTGCAAGCAGTATGCCTAAAAATCATTTTCATTTTCTCTTGTTATAGGAAACTATAAGTCTGTAAGTCTCTTAGTTGAAAAAAAATTTTGTCACATCATAGAACTTAAGAAACTTGGAGTGACCTTAGATATTTTTCTGTCTAACTTTCATTTTATAGATAAAGCAAATGAAACCCTGAGAAGAGTAGTGGCCACAAATACTTTGGTATTCCTTCTATTGAGAAATGCAATCTCACTGCTCCCTTTTCCTGTGTCTGGGCAGGCTCTGTAATTGGTTTGACCAATAGAATACAAATGACAACTTCGACTTCCTATTTCTTGCTTGCCTTTGGGACTTCTCATCTAAGAACCCGACCACCACGCTGTGAAAAGCTGAAGCTACATGAAGAAGCCAATGATTGATGCACCAGTCGACAACCACAGCTAAGCCCCCAGCTGACAGTTAACATGCACTTTCAGTCATGTGAATATGCCATTTAGCATGTCCGGACCAGGCCAACCTTTGGCAGACTCCATTCCCTGCCAGTATCTGACAGCAATCACATGAGAAACCTTAAGCAAAATTTGCCCAACTCTTCCTAGTTAACCCATAGATTAGTGAGAGATAACAAATAGTTGGTTTAAGCCATTAAATTTCAGGATGGTTTGTTATATAGTAAAAGCTCATTGGAAATGAAAGTGACTTAGACCAAAGCTTCTAAGCATTACCAGAGAATGGTACCAGCATTACCAGAGAATGGTACCAGAACTCATATATATCATCCCAAACCTCGTATAATCTCATTATCTCATTATAATATGTTAAGGTAACATGTTGAGTTAAATTAGATCCAGTTTCAGTCTCCCAATAGTTCATAATTCCAAAATAGTGTATTCTTTTAAAACTCACATGGAATGCAGAATTTCCAAAATTCTTAAACTTTAAAACTAATTCTTAGAGCTGTGTCTACCTAACAGTAAGCCATCATTTGGTATAAGGTAGCACTCCCAAGTGTTCCTTGAAGGTAGTGTCTTAGTAATGTACCATGAAAGTAAGAGAGATAAGTAGATTTAATTTGTGTAAATTAAATTAAAGAGGTCTCTTTGCTTCAGGAATTTTCAAGAATGTAAATTTTCCAAGAGGAGCTATAGATAGTCATTTTTTTCCTAAAATTGTTTGACCAGGGCATCCTTCTTCATCAAAAAACTAAATTGAGAAATAGGAAGAGGAATTCAATTTTGTCAGCATAAACCAAGTTTTGCTTTCAGAGGATTTCATAAAAAGAAGTTGTTTTCATAATTCCGTGTGTCTTCAGCTTAGAGAATACATTTTTAGATAACACTTTTATATGACTGTCAGGGACTATGCTTAGTTATGTTTTTTACAACCTGTTCCCATTGCTTTCCCCCCTTACTTTTAACATTCTTTGCTGTGTACAGTTAATAAATCTTTCTGGAATGTGTAGATGAAGGAATAAATAAAAGCAGATAAATAATAAATAATTCAATTAATTAAAAATTATCCTGAAATGTTTCATTAACAATATCAATGACTATGAATGGGCCCAAAGGTTTTTGAGCCAACCCCTCATTTAGTTTAATAACCTGGAAATTAGCTCCAACTCTAATTAGCTTAGTTTGGGTTTTGTATCTTTATTTACATCTAAGGCCAATTGAAATGGTAACACTTGCCGTATCTAACAGAGTTCTTGGGAAATTCAAAGGAGATTTCAAAGTTGGAGGTGGAACAGTTTTGGGCTACAAAAATTGCAGTAATCATGTATTCATCCATTACTTTCACTTTCTAGTTCTGGAGATTGAGATTCAGAAAGAGAGTTTATAGTGCAAATGCTAGTGGCACTGGAAACCTCCTCCCCATGGATCCACATTAAAGATGTTACGAAAGTTCTCTTTTTCAGTAGATGTTATGTTGAATGGTGTGATTCCAATTCACATCCTGATTATTAGTCAGAAGCTTTACAAGCATTTGGGCCACAAAAACATATTTCGCCACAGAATTCATGACTGGTATAGGAAGGTGTGGTGGTCAAAACATTTAATAACCCGTATGGCATGGCCACTGACAACCAGAGTAGACACCAGCCATAAACGACTGGTGCAGCCATGCTCATGAGTATGAGCCATACTGAATATCATCTCAGCTCTAGCGATCTAGTAAATAACATTTCCCATTTCTTGCCACTGGTTTGTGGCCTTGTGAATACTGTCTTCTTATTTGTATTAGAAATTCCTCCATTCAGGCTGTCTCTTAAAGTATACTTCTGTTATTGATATCCATAATACAGTAAGTTCTATTATCTCTCTCCTGGGAAGCTATCAGCACTTCACAGCTCCTTCAGCAATATGCTATCCTGCTACAAAAAAATCATGGTGCGTTCCCATGTCTCCAGTTACCAAGCAGAGAGAATAATAGTTTTACTGTCTTCTCTTGCCCCTATGGGGACATGAGCCAATTCACTACCCCTACTTACTTATTCCTGGATCTCTCTACCCTGTATATCCTATATTCTTGTTCTGTAGTCCTGCTACATAGTTAAATATGACTTGAAAGGCTGACAGAATAATGCAGCTACAGAAAGATGGCAGAGAAATAATAAAATAATATGAGATGGAGTACTTGATACTTTTAAGTCAGAATGGGAAGAAAATATTTGTAAGGATAAATCAAAGTATCTGCATTTAGCCAGTTCCTTTGTGAAGCTCTGATAAAATATGCATTAAAAAATAAGACAAGCCAATGTGGAGTGATCTATACAATTGGACATATACACCTTCATATCACTTTGACCCGACTCTGTTGTATTTGTAACATGGTGTCAAAAGCTTTTATTTGGGTACAATTCAACCATAAATGGAGAATGGGAGCCTCATTCTCCCAGACTTTAGTGAGTTACAGTTCCAGCATGCTTACCTCTACAAGTCTGCTGGTGTGTTCATGAAATATCGCAGCATATTCTTTTATTTCCTTTTCCCGGCCATTCTTAGCAGCTTCAATGAGGACCAAAAGTGGGACTGTCGTATCCAAGAAAGAGTCTGACACATGATCTATAATAGCCTTGCGGAGCTGAGAAGAAATGAGAAATTCAGATTTTTTTTTTCCAGGAAATAGTTCACTGTTTCCTTTTCTTACAATCTCAGTAGTTACACAACTCATTTTATTCATTTTTGCCCAATTCCTAAAATCACAATATTTAAGGATATAAAAAATGTCCCTTAAGAAACTGAAAAACAAAATATCCAGCCAAAAAAAATAAAAATCGTCTAGCAATAGTTCCTTTCTTCTCAAAAGTAATTTTTCTTAAGTTGTATTTAACCTGGAAGTCAGATTAAAAATGGTAATACTTTCTTTGTTGCTCAAAGAAATTATGCTGTTAGAATATGTATGCATGTGTATAAATAACATTGTACATCTTGTATTTTCATAATTACAAATTATAGAATGTTTTATACCTTGTTGGAGGAGCTGACGATAAATTTTGATTAGCTAAATTGTATACTTCATGGTAATTAAGCCAAGTTAGATCACCGATTATGCCAGTTGATAACAGGTTAATAGAGCAGGAAGAATAATAAATGAGTTTGATGTCCAATTTTCCCCATTTGCATTAACTGTTCTTGTCCTCACACCTTAAATTATGAAACAACTATAACATTCTGCTACAATTAAATTAGATTACATGTGAGCTTATTAATGACAATTAGGCAATTACTCTAGTCAGCAGATATTTTCTGAGATTTAAAACTGCATTGAAAAATTAATTCATTGTATTTATATAATATCAAGTCTTTAAAGATCATAATATCGGGCGGGGCACAGTGGCTCATGACTGTAATCCCAGACTTTGGGAGGCCAAGGCAGGAGAATCACAAGGTCAGGAGTTTGAGAACAGCTTGGCCAACATGGTGAAACCCCGTCTATACTAAAAATAAAAAAAAATGGCTGGGCATAGTGGCAGGCACCTGTACTCCCAGCTACTCGGGTGGCTGAGTCAGGAAAATCGCTTGAACCCAGGAGGAAGGGGTTGCAGTGAGTCGAGATCACACCACTGCATTCTAGCCTGGGCAACAGAGTGAGACTCCATCCCCTGCCCCCCACCAAAACAATCATAATATCCTGAAATGTTTCACGAACAATGTCAACAACTATGAATGGGCCCAAAGGTTTTTGAGTCAACCCCTTCATTTAGTTTAATAACCTCTGTACAATAAAACAAAAAAATAAATAGCTATCAGACAGAAAAATGTAATTTTTCTGTGAAAATTATATTTTATAGTTTTTTTTTTAAGCCAATAGATACTTAGTCTAGTTTTAGATTACTTGGGAATGAATGGTAATACATGTTTGGGGAACCGAATGCTAGAGCTACATAGAAAGTACTGTCTTCTATCATGATCATAGAATAATAAATCTGTAATAATTATAGGTTTCTGGAAGAAAAATACCTCTACCCAAAATGGTGAGCTTGCTCAGAAGCATTGTAAAAATTTTCTGACTATCAACAATTTAAGAAAGGCTTCAGGAAGATCCCCAAGGAAGGATTCTGCTTAGTATGCAGAAAGGCAAATTACTAGTGGCAACAAATTAATATTTACTGAGCACTTATTAGGACAAAGTATAGAGTGCTAAGGGGTTACAAGGCAAAGGCAAGACCTTAACTGAATGAATAATGTGTTTGCTCTCTATAGGAAGTACACCAGGGAAGTCAGGCATAAGGTCACTAATTTATTTGAGCTGGGAACTACAGGTTGTGTAAGTTTCAGACACTGAAAAGAAAAGTAGAGATTCCTTCTAATTTCTCAGAGTGGGGGCATTTTTTAATGAGTGTCCTCCCCTTTATTCTTTTCTTCTTTCATTGATAATTGGGACATGTAGATTATTCTTTTCTTCTTTCATTCTGATTGAGACATGTAGAAGGAAAGCTCAGATGAAATCTACACTAGAGATATGCCATGAAGGGCCAGCATATGGGAACTAACTCAAGCAGAAAGTGTGGATGAGGCCATATAGAGAGGAGACCCATGAAGGACCTCTTAGGAAACACTATCGTTTACAGGAGTCATGCAGATTAAAGAGTAGGGCCTAAAAAGAGACTGAGAAAGCAGCCAAGAAACAAAGAGACAAATTACCAACAACTAAAAGACAAACTTTCAGATATATCTCTGTGTTAATGCTCTTCATATGTAGTCATCCTACCAAACATAACTATAATATTCACATCATGGAATGGTTAAATCTTCTGTGTAAATGATTTCATTCAATACAGTAAATATTTCTGGAAACCATTTTCTCATCTTTCTACCAAGAGAAAGATATTGAAGGAAATGTTAAGATGGAAATTCATGATCCCTTATAATCTAGTAGAAGAGTGAATATTACAATAATACATTAAACATTACAATAAAGAAAAACTCAGAGACTGACAGCAAAAAAAAAAATTAGAGACAAATTTTAAAGATAAGTTAATTTAAAAAAAGGAATGAGACTTGTCCATTGGGCTTGACTACTAAGAGGTTATTGATAAACTTGGTAAGAGCAGTTTCAGTGGAAAAGTGGGTCAGGAGTCCTATTGCTATGGTTTGAAGAGTGAATGAGAGACAAGGCAGTCAAGACAGTGAGTATAAACTCCTGTTTTTAATAATTTGATTGTGGCGTAAAGAAGCAAGACATAGTATTTGCTACTCTAAGATATATGTTTAAAGAGTGACTGTTTTTCATATAAAAGACATCGCTATAATTTCCCACCTGCAACTATAGCTGAAAAGTCTTATTACTCCCCATTGCTTTGCTGGAAATACATATTGATTTATTGCCAAAGCAAGAATAAGACGTGAAAAAGAACTATTGTCTCACATTGTGCCAACCTTTGTCATCTTTTCGTCCCATGACAGAAGGAAATGTCCAGAAATCAGTGACTTGAGTTGGACGTGAACAAAACCTTTAGGAGCTAGCATATGGTCAGAGGCAGGGAGGTATCTCTCCCATGGAAATCATCTTAACCCACGCAAAAAACAAAGTGTAACTAATTCGACCAACCCACAATATTCTCACCAGCCCCTGTTGAACTTGTTGGTTCCTGATCCTTTACCTTCACTATCATGAACACATTATAGACTTTTGGTGCCTTATATCTCATCCTCTGGATCTATCTCTGATTTCAGCTTTTGCTGGGGGAACAGTTACATGTCCTCTGAAGACATTCCATGCTTCTTGTGTGCATTCCTTGTGTCTCTTTGTTATCCTGTCTCAGGGCCTGTGCCTAGTCTCTGTGAAATTCTCAACCCAGCATAAACACTGCCTGGAAGTTCTTCAGCGTCCATACCACTGGGGGAAATCCTCAACCTACGGGGATAGAAACTACCACATAAAATTCCTAGTCTCCATCCATTAGTCAGACAATTCTGGGAAACAGTCTGTTAGTTCTCAGAGATCCGCAAGCTCTCATTGCCTACAGCAGCAATCTCAATAGCATTATCATTTCCTCTTTCCCTGACTCACTTTTCATGTTCTATTACACTTGCTTCCAGGAATCATCTCCTAAATAAATGACCTGCACTAAGGTCCTCGTTTTAGTCACTGCTTTTAGGAAAACCCATCTAAACAGGTACCTTTTTCTGGTATTAATGTTGTTTCATCATGCACCAAGTAAGAGACTCCATTGTCTTATGTAAACTACTCATTGCTAATTATACTCTACTACCTTGGCTCTGTACATCACTGAGTTTTGTTCTGCCATACCCTGAATTATACTCACTGTAAAAGAGGAATTATTATGAGATAGGACTAGAAGTGTAGGTAGGGACAAAATGTGAAAGGACTAGAATGTTATGTTAAGCAATTTTCTTTATATGTTCTGACATATTCATACAGGATTGTTTTCATTAAATTGTACAGTCATATATACCTACATGTAATACCAAAGTAGCCTCTATCTTATTTATTTCCATATTATTTTCCTGCCCAGTGGCACAATGCATTCCTTTCAATTGGGTGATATACAAAAAGTTTAAAGAAGAGTCCAATATGCCAATATAGAAATAGAAGCCAAAGCACTAAAATCTGAAGTTAGTGGGAGGCCAATAGGAATTACAAGTACATACTTTCAATAAATACCTGTTTGTGGCCAGGCATGAAAGATGTTAGAACAAAACCAAACTGAGGTGCTTTTCATCTTTTCTCACTATAGTTTAATAAAAGGCTTTGAGACATCAATTTTTCTATTTCCTACTGATGTAAGTGGTTTGGGATCTCAAAATAATATATATCTCTACAATTGAAGCCCAAAGTGAAAGCCCTGTGTGAGAAGTCTAAAAAAGCCCCACCACTGCCACCAAATAAAGGAAGAGAAAGAATGAAATTGTGAGGGGAAGGGGAATGGAAAATGGAGAAAGTGTTTCAGAAACGAATCATCCTCAGGGAAACAGAAAAACACATTTAGACTAGAATATTTTAAATTAAAATATTGTATTAAATTTTAAACAAATTAACAATATTTAAATTTTAGTAAATATTTTAAATTAAAAGCCACTTTAATTTAAATCAAATAGCAAAATGTGATCTTTTAAAGCTTGTCTAACAGGAATTAAATCAACTAATAATTATTTCACTGTGTATGTACTATGTAAATTTAGTGAAACTTCTCTCTTGTGGATACATAACGTTATTTGATGATGAGGATGATGACCAGGAGGTATAAAAGCCTACATATTTTTTTCTGAGTGGTGAACTGGTACTATGCAACATAGAGGAGAGATGGACCTAGCAATTCAGAAACTCAGCAACTCAAGAATTAATCAAATTTTTGTTTTGTCTGTTTTTACCAAAATCCCATTTGCCATACTTCATCTTTACTTTGGCATTTATGAAATAAAAGACATCTTTTCTTAATATACACAAATAAAAATTTTAGCCTGCCTTTAGTGAAAACAAGTATAGTTTTTACTATAAATAGAAATAAGATATATTTGTTGCTTAAATATTTTTAATAAAGTAAAGGATGTTTAAAAAGTCTTCCTCCTTTTATTGAGAGAGTTATAATAGGTATACAGTTTTCAAATGAATGATAGAAAAGGAGGCTAAAGAAAGAAGAAAATTTAGTTTTAAAAAAGCATTTAAAACAAATAATAAAGAAAATAATATGTGATGGTAAAATCAGTGTCTTAGGCACTGGGAGGTTCTGAAAGTGAATAGGCCATAATCCCTAGCCCCTGGTGTAGTGACTACACATATGGGCTGGGGTTGGATGGACCTGGGCTAGAACTGTGTCTCTACCACATAGCTGGGTGATGTTTGCTATGTTAACTCATTTTGGGGGACAGAGATAACAATACCATGGCATTATTCATTGTTTCAGAAATAAAAATCAATAATGAAATGAATATACTTGGTAGAGAGCTTTGCAAAGCATTTAGTAAATGAGAGATGTCGTCATAACTATCATTATAAGGACTTAAAGTGCAGTGGGAAGAAAACTCACTATAAAAGAAAACAATACAAGAATATAACCATTGCTGTAATAGAAGTGCACATGCTGTAAGTGTTCCAGGAAGAAAAAGATCCATTCCAGCTGGTGAAAACAGCAAAGGTTTCATGGAAGCAATAGCATTTACGGTACTCTGGAATGTAGTTGCTTATGAGTTGGGTGTGTGTGTAAACAGAGCTGGTAGAGAAGGCTTCAAGCTGTACAAGTCATATCTACAAAGAAGCAAGTGTATTTGAGCAGGAGGTGACGCAAATTCTGGTAAATAACAAGTAGACTCTTTTGTCAGAAAACAGGTTAATGTGGGCCTGGCGCAGTGGCTCACACCTGTAATCCCATCACTTTGGGAGGCCGAGGCGGGCAGATCACGAGGTCAGGAGTTTGAGACTAGCCTGGCCAACACGGTGAAAACCCGTCTCTACTAAAAACACACAAAAAAAGTAGTAGGGTATCATGGTATGCACCTGTAATCCAGGTACTCGGGAGGCTGAGGCAGGTGAATTGTCTGAACCTGGGAGGCGGAGGTTGCAATGAGCCGAGATCATATCACTGCACTCCAGCCTGGGTGGCACAGTGAGACTCTGGCCCCCCGCCAAAAAAAAAGAGAGAGAGAGAAAAGAAAACAGGTTAATGTGTTGGTGTGATGAGGAGGCGACAACACTGAGAAGGAGAGCTGAAGGAAAAGGAACATTAAGAATAATGGAGATTAAGTCAGGGCCAAATCACAGAGAACCTAGAACACCATACCAAGAACATATGTCTTTGTTCTCTAGTAAAACAAGCAAGAAAGTCACAGAGGAAGAAGGTTGAAACAAATAAATACTTTCAGCTTCTAGAACATTCCATCTTGATGTCCTCAAATCTACAATTTGCTTCTCCTCAGATATTTCTAAGCAGTCTCCATCATTCCTCATGGAAGAAGTCCAATCACCCTCTGAACTGAAGCTGAAATGTTTCTGCATTACTGATAGAAAGGCCATAGTACAAGCACACGTATGTTTATTGTGGCACTACTCACAATAGCAAAGACTTGGAACCAACCCAAATGTCCATCAATGACAGACTGGATTAAGCAAATGAGGCACATATATACCATGGAATACTATGCAGCCATAAAAAAGGGTGAGTTCATGTCCTTTGTAGGGACATGGATGCAGCTGGAAACCATCATTCTCAGCAAACTATCACAAGAACAGAAAACCAAACACTGCATATTCTCACTCATAGGTGGGAACTGAACAATGAGAACACTTGGACACGGGAAGGGGAACATCACACACTGGGTCCTGTAGTGGGGTGGGAGGAGGGGGGAGGGATAGCTTTAGGAGATATACCTAATATAAATGACGAGTTAATGGGTGCAGCACACCAACATGGCACATGTATACATATGTAACAAACCTGCACGTTGTGCACATGTACCCTAGAACATAAAGTATAATAAAAAAAAAAAAAAAAAAAAAGAAAGGCCATGGTTAAGAAAGGGGATAAGGATGAATGGGCAGGAAGATGGGCTCTGCTTATTTTTTACTAAAAAAGTTTTAAAAAGATAAAACCAGTTCTAAAGCAAACAATGAACATTAAATACTCCAAAGAAAAACATTTTAAGGGCAGTGCTTTCTCTTTCCTGTGAGAAGAACTATATGTGAGATGCTTACAACAACTGTTGGATAAACTCCTCAAGAATAAGAAGTGGAGATAACTTATGTTGCTGTTTTAATTAACTGTGATTTCTACCAAAAATGTAAACATCAGGATGAAAAATAAAGTACTAGGGGGAGGGTAAGTGAGGATAACGAGAAAGAATCATAGCAACCAACTTCATCAAAATGGAAGATCATGGAGGTGTTACATCCAAGATAGTTTCTAACAATTCCATCCATTCCTGTATACACATATCACTTCTCCTACAATAGATAGAGCTTCTGCCTTCTCCTATTGAAGTAGGACAGGGTTTTCAACTGTTTTTGTCTTGTGGATTATGGAGGAAATAGCATTCTCTGGCTTTGGAGCTAAGGCACTAAGAATGCTTGTCAGCTTCCATCTCCCTTTTCTTGGCAGCTTGAAACAGCACGTAAGAGATCTAGGCTACCTTGCTAGAGATTGAAGCCACATGGAGGGACCCTAAAACATTAGGCACCCTATGGAGAGAGGGAACAGGAAATAGCACTGAGGTTCCAAACACCAAGTCCCAAATCCAGTCACAGTTGCCATTTGACTACCACTACATGGAAAACCACAAGTGAAAACAGTACAGAAAATGGCCCTGCTGACACCCAGCCAACCCAAGGCATCGTGAGATGCAAATATGGTTGCTATTGTTTGTGGTGGTTTGTTAAACACTGATAGAAAATAGAAACAATGGAGATGTTAACCTGTGAAACCACACAGAGTGTTAATACCTTCAGAGCACAGCAGTTTTCTACAAGATAGGAGTATCTCCTTACTATGAAGAGCAGTATTAGTAATCCCCATTGCTATTTCTATATCTCACTGATGGTAGTGAGGTGGAAACACAAGTAGGATTGCAAGATAAAATACAAGATGCTCAGTTACATTTGAATTTCAGATGAACAACTTTTTAAATATAAGTATGTACCATACAATATTTGGGACATAATTATACTAAACCATGTTTGTTGTTCATCTGAAATTCAAATTTAACTGGGTGCCTTGTGCTTTTATTTGCTAAATCTGGTAATTCCACACACAAGTAATTGCCTTTTCTTGACTTTATTTAGAAAAATAATAATTCTAAAACCTTTGGAAGTATAAATGTAGATTAGCTCTTTATGCATAATGTTGTTGAAGGCAATATAGAGGGAAAAGACACCAACGAGAGACACAATCATTGAGAGCTCATAGAAACAACTTTTCTGAGTCCTAGGTGAAGCAGATGGGGTAGAAATCCTTAAGACGATGGAGAATAGAGATCATTCCACAAAACTGGAGGATGGCTCTGAGGATATAAATTTCTGAGTCCTGGTACAGGTTCTGACTCAGTGCCCCATCCTCTTAGGCAGGTCACCTCACCACACTGGCTTGCTTTCTCATTTGCATTGTAAGACAGGTTGTGCTAAGTTCCTTCTGACTCTTACATTCCATGATTACAAGTGTTAATGGTAGAAACAGAACTCACATTAAGGGCATAAAGTTGAGCAACTGGGATTTTCGCAGACTTGAACATTATGTTTTTATGCAGCTATTATTAACTGGTTGGAGATCCCTATTTATTCTATTTCCAAATCTACTTCCAAATTAAAAGACTGCTCAGCCATTTTACTAAATCTTGTCATTAAGTTACAATAATATATTGCATTAAGAGCTCATAGTTGAAAAGCTTTTTGTCCCTTTTGATGGGTTAATGATGACTAAGTTAAAGTTGCGCATGAGAAAGAACTCTGGTTATTGAACAGAGGAAAGGAATGAAGAGTAAATGTCTTTGAAAATAGCTAAGTCTTCCTATTTCTGGAAAAATGTTTAATTTGTGGCGTAATACTAAACTTCTAAATTGTTTAATGAAATTCTTTCTAATCCCATGTTCCTGGTTATCTAAGGTTAAAAAGAAGCCTTAACTTTTACAAAAACTAATTTTTGAAGTATCCTGAAAAGAAAAATTGAAGGAGGAATGGGAAGGGTCTCTGAATTACTTACTAGTCAAACATTTGGATTTAAGCATTTGGATGATGAACTCTGATGTAACAGAATCAATTTATCAACTTTCCCTAAAACCTTGCCATGGGTCAGGCACTTACATGCATTTTATTGATTCCTCACAGCCCTATTGCATATTATTAATTTCCTTTTATAGGTTCAGAGAAGCTCAGAGAGCTGAAATTTGTGCCCAAGATCTTATAACCGATGAGGACAGAACCAGAATTTGAACATAATTCTGTCTGATAAGGCACACATTCTTTCTTCTACTTTATGTTTGCCACAAAAATGTTTGAGGTATGAATATATAAATGTGAAAAGTATATATTTATTCTTCTTTTCCTGTTCTAAATTAATTTGAAAGGAACAAAACAAGAAATAAATATGTCTACAATGAATAACAGTTTCATTTAGCCCCTATGTTTCTGACTCCGTATCTCTCTCTTCCCTCACCTGTCTGCGAAGGTCTCTTGTCTTCTTACACATGTTGTCTAAAGCAATATTCAGGGTATTACTCCTTTCTTTTTTTCCAGCCTGCAAAGAAGAAAACAATGACATCAGCAATGGTATCAATTAATCTTTATCACTTAGCAATTTGCTTTCTAAATTTCCTGAAAATAACAGCTTGAAATTCAAGAATAGGTTTCAAAACTGCTATATTATATATGATTCATGAGCATTTCACTTAAGACTAAGTAGAATGGTGATTAAAGTTCAAATTATTTTCATCTTTAAGCTTCTGTAATATTTCCGATACAGAGTTAGGTGGTATTCAGTGTGACAGTAGGCAGAGCATTATCTTCATGAAACTCTGTTCTTCATTTTTAACAAGTCAAATCTTAAATCACTAAGCATGCAATTAGCTTAAAAGCATTAGATGCCCAATTTGTCAACTTCTGTGGGAGTTTCTGAAGTCATTCCTATGGTGTATTGTGTAAGTTATGCAGAGCCATACTGAAGTTTTGCTAAACACTAAATAAAATATGCAGTGCAAATTCATACAACTTGCAAAAGTTGACCACAATTTTAGTTGACAATATTCCAAGAACAAATTGTTTTAAGTAAGAACTGGACGCTGTTTTTGGCTCTTTAAGATAATTTGTGCAACACCTTTTTATTCTTTGAGCAGAACAGCTCTCTGTTATATCCTTAACCTAAATCTTTAGGCTATTAAGCACATAGAGAGTCACCTTGGTTGGTATTTTCTACATATTATTTTCGTGCAAGACAACTGGATTAAATCTAATCATACTTTTTGCCATGATATCTCACATAAAAGAGATTGGAAAAAATCATTATGTGATTCACCTCTAGGAAAATTGCTGCTATTTAAATTAATAAACTGAAAAGGGCTCTTGAGAGGAGACCTTGAAAATCAGGAAGGCAAGTTTAAGCAGCTGATAACTGAAGGGGTTTACAGCACGAACCCAATGAAAAATGACACTGAAGCCAAGTATAAACCACGAGGCAGCATGTCTGACACTTTCCCCAATGACTAAACTCATACATAAACCCATACTCTCCAGTGGACTCTGTAACAAGAAATTCAAAAACTTTCTATACTCTGTCCTAACCTATTTTTTTACTTATGTACTGCTATATACTCTCCTTTACAGTAGCAATACTCCTATACTTTTCTGTCTCTTCTCCCCAGTTCTTACATGCAATGTACCTTTGCTTTCAGACAGCATCTTCTAAAACAACACCTACTGAAGTCCTATCTCTTCCTCACTGGTTTCCACAAAGAGTTCTTCCAACAACCCTGCTCAAAAGTAAACTCTCACTTTTCCTTTTTCCAACAGAATTTTGAGCATTTTTCAATATAATCATTTTATTTATGTGCATAACCCGTACGCTACTGTTAGAATTTTGATATTACAAAATATATCTTAAATTTTTTCTATTCCTGATAGTAACTTACATAGGACTTATTGAATAGAGTTGACTAGTTTATAAATGAACAATTTAATTCAAAACACAACATAGTTTGATTAGAGGCCTACTATTTTCCAGGAAGGTGTCATTCTAGGGACCCTGGAGGAGATTTTAGCATTTAGCCCTCAAGGCACAGCTAAAGTTCTCTGTGAGCTGAGGTTGCTGGTATCTACCTCAACCTCAGGTCAACCTATATTTTCCCAGCAGCAGTGCTATTGATATTTAACGTGTGAAAAATATTGAGATCATTCTATACATTGCAAGATATCTGGCATTCATGGACCCAGGTCTGCTAAATTCAATATCAAATCTGATGCACTTTGACAAAGCCAAAAACTGGCACCATATATGTCCAGCTGCTTCCTATAGGGAGACACAGTAGAAGGCCACTAAGTCTTTACCACGTTTTAGTTTCTTACAAATGAAGTGTGGAATGTGTACACAATAGAAACTGTGTCTAGCGAAGAGAGAAGGAAGAAAAGGGAAACAGGACAGATTTGGTTAGGTTATTTCTATGAACATTAATAACATTCTGGATATCAGAGCAATGGCAGTGATTACACAGATGAAAGTTGTGGCTACCTTCACAGCTCCTACCCAGCATTCTCTATGCTGGCAGTGGAGAATTATGGAGAGTTAACTCATGACTATATAGGATAATGACATAAACAGATACACAATGAGCTCTCAGACAGTTTCTAATTTTACCTAAAGAACCCAGCCCTTATTCTGTAGTTTCATGCAGTGTTTGCTCTTGGCTGTATCGCTTTCTACTTCATGAAAGCAGAGATAATAAAAAGGAGGCAGAACTGGGACAGACAAAGAGACCTCCTACACACACACACACACACACACACACACACACACACACACACCCCGTATCAGGAATAATATGGGAGACTCCTGTTGTGTTGGCTGTAAAAACCCGCTAGCTTCTGTGGTGTGATTCATCAGAACAACTAAAAGATGTCAGCCTTCTCAGAGCTAGCAGCAGAAGCATACCAAACTTTAAATAAAGGATGACAGGAGGTGACAGCACAAAGGGATTCAAGAAGGACTATAAAAATTATTCCCTAATTTCTAACCAGAGCTTAACCCTAGTTTAAAATGTTTCACTGGGTCAAAGACATTTCATTGTCTAGGTAATAATAAACAGTCCCTACCATGAAGGAAGTTTAAAGGTCTCCCTTCTTGCTTTTTTCTCTCTCCATGCCCTATCCTCAACCACAATCACCTTTCTTCTTTTTCACCTCTGGCTTTTTATTGGATCCTTGCTCAATTTATCTAGATTTATTTGGCTTCAGTCAAGCCACTTTATGCTTCTTTATTCCTTTTGCATAGCATAAAAATAAATAAGGCAAGGAGAAATAGCCCCATCCTGCTTAAAGGCCCTCATTCCTTCTTTTTTCAAAGCCTTAACAAATCATCAAGCAATGAGCTAGGACTAAAGGTGAATTCTGTGTTCTGAGGCAAGAGATAGAAAGGGCAGGATATTAAAACACAACTGCAGATAACAGTCAGAACCTGCCTATATCCCAAGTGCTCAGAAAAGAGACTGCTCTTACAGAAATCCTTGACAGAAACCATCATTAAGTCAGCAAATCCCTGCTAATGGAAAAGGGACCACTTACAGTGGAATGTCAGGCAGATAGACACTGAGAAAACATGGCACAGGTCAGCACTGAATGGGGAAAGTGGTCACATTCTTCATCTGTAAACAAACTGCCAAGAAAGACTTTATTAAAAAAATAATAACAATTCTGGGCTGAGAGCGATGGCTCATGCCTGTAATCCCAGCACTTTGGGAGGCCAAGGCAGGTGGATCACCTGAGGTCAGGAGTTCAAGACCAGCCTGTCCAACATGGTGAAACCCCCATCTCTACTAAAAATACAAAAATTAGCGGGGCATGGTGGCGCACACCTGTAATCCCAACTACTTGGGAGGCTGAGGCAAGAGAATTGTTTGAACCCAGGAGGCAGAAGTTGCAGTGAGCTGAGATCACGCTACTGCACTCCAGTCTGAGTAACAGAGCAATACTCTATTTGAAAAATAAATAAATAAATAAATAAATAAATAAATAAATAAATAATAAAATAGTAAATAAGTAATAGACAATCAAAAAATCCCAACCTTCAAGGTGCTTACTCCCTAGTGGAGAAACATAAGGTCTAATTATATCCCTCCTTTGCTCTAAAACCCTTCACTCTATCCCTACTGATGAAATTAAGAACAAAGTCTTGATCATTGTGTTGAAAGCCTTATATAATCTACTTCCATATTTGCTTATCAACCACTAATAAGACACCTTAACAGGTCTTTTGTATTCTCTGCAATATGATTACAACTCAAGAACTCTGCTTGTATAAATACCTCTCTTTTCGTTTCTTGTCTCCTACTTTTCTTGTTATGAATCTCTTTCTTTTTTTTTTTTTTTTTTTTTTTTTGAGACAGAGTCTTGCTCTGTTGCCCAGGCTGGAGTGCAGTGGTGCCATCTCGGCTCACTGCAACCTACACCTCCTGGGTTCAAGTGATTCTCCTGCCTTAGCCTCCTGAATAGCTGAGATTACAGGTGCCCACCACCATGCCTGGCTTCTTTTTTTGTTCTTTTAATAGAGACAGAGTTTCACCATGTTGGCCAGGCTGGTCTTGAACTCCTGACCTTAGGTGATTTGCCCGCCTTGGCCTCCGAAAGTGCTGGGATTACAGACATGAGCCACTGCACCTAGCCTGGTTATGGACCTCTTTCAAGGTGCAACTCAATTACTAAATTTTACATAGAGGCTTTGTTGATCTTCTCATTTGCAATTAATGACTCTCTTCCATGATACTTTCTTATAGTTCTTATACTTCTTTTTTTTTTTTTTTTTTTTTTTTTTTTTTTTTTTTTTTTTTTTTGATACTTTTTATAGTTCTACACTTCTTTTTTTTTTTTTTTTGAGACGGAGTCTTGCTCTGTTGCCCAGGCTGGAGTGCAGTGGCCAGATTTCAGCTCACTGCAAGCTCCGCCTCCTGGGTTTACGCCATTCTCCTGCCTCAGCCTCCCGAGTAGTTGGGACTACAGGCGCCCGCCACCTCGCCCGGCTAGTTTTTTGTATTTTTTTTAGTAGAGACGGGGTTTCACCGTGTTAGCCAGGATGGTCTCGATCTCCTGACCTCGTGATCCGCCCGTCTCGGCCTCCCAAAGTGCTGGGATTACAGGCTTGAGCTATAAACTACTGTGTTTATGTCTGTCACTAGATTTGGGCACCTGAAAGGCAGAGACTAGATCTAATGTATTAATTACTACTAGTTCTTAGTATGGTGTCCGGCATATAGTAGATAATAAAGATTTGTTGACTATGTTGAACTATTTAGTAAACCAAGTGGTATACTTCTTTTATAACACTTGGTATACTTCTTTTATAACACTTGGTTTACTAAATAGTTCAACATAGTCAACAAATCTTTATTATCTACTATATGCCGGACACCATACTAAGAACTAGTAGTAATTAATACATTAGATCTAGTCTCTGCCTTTCAGGTGCCCAAATCTAGTGACAGACATAAACACAGTAGTTTATAGAGGTACCTAGGGTAACACATGGACTGATGAGAG